AAGCGTGTTTGTGATTGAATATGTGAGCATGTTTGTGTGTATCAATGTGTTAAAGTGTGTGAGTACATTTGGGAGGGCATTTGTGTGTGTGATCACGTTTGTGTGTGAGTGAATGTGTGTTCTCATGTCTGTGAGAATGCTCATGTGTTAGTGAAGATGCGATCATGTTTTTGTGTGTATGTGTGAGCATGTCTGTGTTTGTGTGAGGATGATAATGTTTCTCCATGTTTTTGAGTGAATTTATTACTGTGTTTGCATATGTGCGCATGTTTGCATGTGAATGAATTTGTGAGCAGGTTCAAATGTGCATGTACATGTGGGAGCATGTTTGCGTGTATTTATGTTAATATGTGAGTGATTTGAGCTTGCCATTGTACGTGAGCTTGCTTGTGAGGGAATGTGTGAGTATGTTTGTGCATGTGAATGTGTTAAAGTGTGTGAGTACATTTGTGAGGGCGTTTGTGTGTGTGAGCACGTTTGTGTGTGAGTGAATGTGAGCCAGTTCATCTGTGTATGTAGATGTGGGGGTATGTTTGCGTGTCAATGTGTGCTCCTGTATGTGTGTTTGTGAGTGAATATATGAGCATGTTTGTGCGTGTGAATGTGTTAAAATGTGTGAATATGTTTGTGAGGGAATTTGTGTGTGAGCATGATTATGTGTGAGTGAATGTGTGAGTGAATGTGTGTTCTCATGTATGTGAGAATGCTCATGTGTTAGTGAAGATGCGATCATGTTTATGTGTGTATGTGTGAGTGTGTGTGTGTGTGTGTGAGGATGTTAATGTGTTATTCCATTTTTTAAAGTGAATTTATAGCTGTTTACCAATAAGGATTGCATGTGTGAGCATGTTTGTGTGTGAGTGATTGTGTGAGCTAGTTTATATGTGTATATAGATGTGGGGATGTTTGTGTGTTAATGTGTGGTCCTTTATGTGTGTTTGTGAGTGAATATGTGAGCATGTTTGTGTGTGTGAAGGTGCTAAAGTGAGTACATTTGTGAGTGTTTGTGAGTGAATATGTGAGCATGTTTGTGTGTGATTGAATGTGTGTTCTCATGTATGTGAGAATGCTCAAGTGGTAGTGAAGATGCGATCATGCTTATGTGTATGTGTGAGCCTGTGTGAGGATGTTAATGTGTTTTTCTAGTTTTTGAGTGAATTTGTGAGTATTTTTGCATATGTGGGCATGGTTGCATGTGAACGAATTTGTGAGCAGGTTCAAATGTGCATGCAAATGTGGGAGCATGTTTGCGTGTATTTGTGTTAGTTGTGAGTGCATTTGAGCATGCACTGGAAGTGAGCTTGCATGTGAGTGAATGTGAGCATATTTGTGCATATGAATGTGTTAAAGTGTGTGAGTACATTTGTGAGGGCGTTAGTGTGTGAGTGAGCATGTTTGTGTGTGAGTGAATGTCTGAGCCAGGTCATATGTTTATTTAGATGTGAGGTATGTTTTTGTGTCAATGTGTGCTCCTGTTTGTGTGTTTGTGGGTGAATATGTGAGCATGTTTGTGCATGTGAATGTGTTAGTGTTTGAGTACATTTGGGAGGGAGTTTGTGTGTGAGCGAGCATGTTTGTGTGTGAGTCAGTCTGTATGTGTATGTAGATGTGGGGATATGTTTGTGTGTTAATGTATGGCCCTGTATGTGTTTGTGAGTGAACATGTGAGCATATTTGTGCATATGAATGAGTTAATGTGTGTGAGTACATTAGTGAGGGAATTTGTGTGTGAGCATGTTTGTGCGTGAGTGAATGTGTGAGCCAGTTTATATGTGCATGTAGATGTGCGGATATGTTTGTGTGTTAATGTGTAGTCCTGTATGTGTGTTTGTGTGTGAATATGAGAGCATGTTTTTGTGTGTGAATGTGTTAAAATGTGTGTGGATATTTGAGGGAATTTGTGTGTGAGCATGTTTGTGTGTGAGTGAATGTGTGAGCCAGATTTTATGTGTATGTAGATATGGGGATATATTTGTGTGTTAAGGTGTGGCCCTGTATGTGTTTGTGAGTGGATATGTTAGCATATTTGAGCATATAAATGTGTTGAAGTGTGTGAGTACACTTGTGAGGGAATTTGTGTGTGAGCATGTTTGTGTGTGAGTGAATGTGTGAGTGAATGTGTTCTCATGTATGTGAGAAAGCTCATGTGTTAGCGAAGATGTGATCATGTTTATGTGTGTGTGTGAGCATGTGTGTGTGAGGATGTTAATGTGTTTCTCCATGTTTTTGAGTGAATTTGTGAGTGTGTTTGCATATGTGGGCATGGTTGCATGTGAACGAATTTGTG